ATATATGTAACTATTTTAAATTATTAATAAAGATATAAGCAAGGCCTTACCTTAATACCAAAAAAAAATATATATATTTGAATATGATTAGTATTGATAATTAAGATAAATTTAGTATGATATTTGCTATAAAGATAAATAATTATTGAAATAGAGAGAAGGGTCTTGGAAAAAATATGTAATTTTATATGATCTAAGAATTTTTTGTTAAGTAAAAAGTTGGTTGAATTTTAGAAGAAATTGGGTAAGCATTATTGTTATTTTCTTCTTTATTAAAAAAGTTTTAATAAAAGTAGTTAAGGTTTGCAATGTCAGGTTTTTAATAAATTAAACTGGGTACTTTTTAAAATATTAACAAGTTGAGTAAAAATAAATATAAGATTAAGAATTTAAAGAATTTTTCTAAATTATAAATGTGATTATAAATAGTTAATTTTGCAAGTGTGGTAAATAAAGACAAGAGTTGTACTATAGAGGTATTATTAGAGTAGCACTAGAATGTAACTAAAATAATTAGAGTCACTAATATAACTTAAGTACTAAATACAAATAGAATTTGAAATAAAGATTATTATATAATATTAGTAAAAACCAAATATAGTAATAATAGATTGAGTTTAATAAATATTTATTAATAGATTAGTTATAAGATATTAGTATAAATTAATAAAATATAAATTGAAAAATGATTGTATGATTATATGAAAAATGTATAAGAGAATAAGGTAAAGACAAAAAATAGAAAAAGTTTTGTAAGAGAATAAATATTGAATTTAGTTGTAATTTGATCAATATTAGATTAAAAATCTTTGTTTATAGCTTGTTTTGACTAAATAAATATGTACTACAACTTTACTTAAAAGTATAAAACAGATTAAAACAATAAAAACTGCAAGATAGTTAAATTTTAAAACTGAAGACCAAAGACTATTAGTACAGTTTTCTTAATAGGTTTAAAATATAAAAACTTAATATTTGAAAGATATATGTAAATGAAAAGTTAAATAAGTTTATTTAAAAGCCCAAGACAGGTTAGATTGTCTTAATAAAATAAATAGTTATAAGTGTTTTTAGACAAATGAATTTTTTAATTAATTTTTGTACAATGAATTTGTAGAAAAAGTTTTGTTTATATTTATTAGGCTCTTCTATATATATAGTTCAAATATCATCTGTAATAATAATAATAATAAACTTTAATAGAGTAAAATATAAATAACTCATTTATTGGCTAATAATCTTAATATAATATAAATTTTTAGTATACATGATTTTTTTTCTATTCATAATAAGTTTTAAATATTATTGTAGTAAATAAATGAAATTAAAATTTTAAAAGGTTAAAAAATATCAAATAAAATATCTTTGAACTATTTTTTAATTCTAAATGATTAATTATTTCTATTAAATCTTTCAATATATTTTATTACAAAATTATTGAAAAAGTTTTTAAGTTCTTGTTCTTTAACTTTATATATATAATTAACCATTAAACCCAAACCACTAAATTGTTGAAAAAAGAATTCTTATGAAATATTTTTTGCATTTAATGTAGGATCTTTAATTAATAAAATAATTAATTTATAAAATTTTTTCCAATGAAAAAATTCATATAATTTATTTTTTAGATTATTAAAGTTTGGAATTAATTATTTAATTATATTACAAGTTTTTTTTTCTTTCTCATTGCTAATACCTGGAATTTCCTTATACAATGCTTTTGCATAATAAATTCTAAAATAAAATTCTTCCCACTTCAAGTTAATTTGAGTTTGTTCTTTTAATTTCAAATAATTAAGTTAATCTAACCATTTTGAAATATAGCTTATGTTTGGAGTGTACGTAAGACTCAATAATTCAGATTCTCCATTTAATCTAGATAAAAAAATGTTGTTTGTTTTTTTTTTGTTATTGTTATTATCAATATTGGTCATTTTATATTTAATGAGAAAAGATTAATCGATTGTAAACCTAATTTAATTTTAAACTAGTTTTATACCGTATTCTATCATAAATAAGCACCACACCCTCTACCCCATTTTTTTAAATGTCAGATTAACGGACATCGCAATGAGATCTTTAGCCAAGTTATTTCCGCTAATCTGGCATTTAAAAAAGTGGGGTAGAGGGAGTGGTGCTTATTTACGGTAGAATACGGTATATTGATCTGTTGTACAAGTGTAGATCGCATCATGTGATTAAATTTCGATTTGTATAATGTTAATTAGGGTTCTGCAAGTGCCAGGCACGGGCACTATTAAAACATAGTGCCAGGCACTTGCAGAACCCTAATGTTAATATTCCTAAACAACTTTTACGACCAATAATCCCGGAAAGCCCATATTAGATAGGTGATCGATATAGCTGCTAATTGTTATAGTCCTAATTGTTACTGTGCCACATTGATTACCCACTTTCACGTGCTTCCAGGATCACGTTTCACGGCTCACAATGTATACATGTGTACTGAAATTATTTTTGAAAAAAGGTATTTACAGCAAACATTTAGACATTGCTAAATTTTTCTATGAAACCCACTGAAAAAACTATGCTATATGATGATGTATTTTGATAGAGTTCAAAAAATTTCGGCAATAATTTCGGCACACATGTATAGTCTCTACATACCTGATGTGACAAATATAAAAAAAAAACTTTAAGAAACTGATAGATAAATTAAAAAGGTTAATTTTGAAATTAAATTTTAACCTAAAGTGTATGCTTGATTGCTTGATGTGAAATATTGGTTAGATTATCTAAATAAGCTTACAAATCAAAATAAATAGAGTTTACGGATCATTGATTTGAAATCAGCACATTAGATTTGAATCATCCAATTCCGAAGTAAAGAAACTAAGTCCAGACAATATGTGAAAATTTGAATTCTGTGTGGATTTCAGGGGGTATAAAATAAAATAAAGAAAAAAAACAAATTCTTAGATCTCAAATGCCCAAATCAGACTTGTATCAGTATATGTCGTATTTTAAATTTAGTTTAATATAGACCGTTAATGTTGAATACATCGTTATATCAAGAAATTCTGGGCTGAAGATCACTTCTGACCTATCCGGATCCAATAAAATCACAGGATTCCGTGTAACAAAACAAACACGTAAAACATAAGAAATTGTAAATAACACAAAAATTTACTGTGATGACTAACTTCTGACCTCTAAGTAAAAGTTTTCAGATTGAAATTTTACTTATAAGATACAATTGTTAATGTTAGATATATGAGAATTTTTGATATACTACAACCCATATCTTTTTGGCCGGCAGCTCAGGATTTCTTGACATAAGAAAATTCGGTAATGGAATTACACATATATTAAAACTGTTGAGAGATTATATTAGTGTTCCAGTCGAAAATCGATTAATCGATTAGTTAATCAAGCTGGCGACTAATCGATTGATCGACTAACGGTTAGTTAGTTAATCGATTAGTTGACTAATCGACTACAGGACTAGTTGTTTTATACAGTAACATACTTGTTTTGATCTTGTAATTAGTAGCTACGCAATTATATCCAAGCCATTGCGATATGCCAACTAATCGATTAGTCGACTAATCGATTAATTGACTAATCGATTAATCGATTAGTTTGGATTTTTAATCGATTTTTAAAATTTTTTTGCCTGACTAATCGATTACATTTTTTGGTCCGACTTGTAACACTAGATTATATCCATCACAATTGAATCCAACATAAATAATTTAATTTGTGATTGATCACAGGCGACACTGTGGTATATGACGTATTTTAAATTTAACTCTAACAATAATTGAATAACATTGATATATAATTCCACGCAATAAAACTGACGAATGAACTTGTCAAGTAACTCCGAAAATTTATTGCAAATATGAAGCGGCGCTCCGGAACCCAACAGATTCCATTTTTCTAGTATTAGTCTTACAATTTTATTTTATCGTAAATTAAAGCATTATCAACCAAACATAGTGTGATTAAAAAAATTATAAAAAATTGATTCTAACATGGGGAGTCTTTAATCAATTAATACTACGTAGCATATTATACTGAGTTAGTTGTTACAAATAAGATGTTACAATTAATTTTGTGACAAATTTTTTTAATTTAGCTAAGCTACGTTTGTATCTGACAAAAAGCTGGCTGATAAAAGCCGATGTATGTTCAAGTTGATTATAATTTCTTTAAACTTTTAATTAGTTTATCTAAAAATTGACTGCTGCCGTCATTATTGTCCTTAGCCTTTTCAAACCAACGAATAGCATTTCTTATGTTTTTATCAACACCTATTCCATCTTTATAAAAGCATCCAATTTGATATTGACTATAATAATGTCCTCTTTCAGCAGCCTTTAAATACCAATCAGCAGCTTGACTGAAATCTTGCATAACCACTTTACCATGATGATAAAAATATGCTAATTGATATTGTCCCTGTGGACAACTATTTCTAGCGGATTTTTGATACCATTCTAATGCATAATTTAAATTTATTTCTAATGTATTTAAGAAAAATTTTTGATATAATTTGTTAATACAGTTTAAATTACAAAATGAATAATAGGGAAATATTTATTGTACATACCTACGCCTATGCCATGCTCATAACATGCTCCAACACCATATTGTCCGAAAGAGTCATCATCTTTAGCAGCATCTAAATAATATTCAAAGGCCTTCTCTTTATCTTTACAAGGTAAATAAATGCTTTTGGTAAAGATCGTATTCTTATAAATGATTGAATACAAACAGAAACATTTTTTATACCTTTATCTGTTCCTTTGCCATGCTCATAACAGTGCCCAAGGTTATATTTTGCCAAGCTATTTCCTTCTTCGACCGCCTCTAAAATTAATTCAAACCCCCTTTTTTCATCCTTTTCTACCTATATATATTATTAGTCAAGATAATTATAAATTAGAGCCATTGAAATAAATATTATAATTACCCCTTCTCCATTTAGATATAAAGATCCAAGATTACATTTTCCCTGAGAGCTACCTATTTCGGCAGATTTTGAATACCAATAAACTGCCAATTTTTTATCTTTCTCAACTGAAAAAAAAGAATAAAGCGAGATTAGATTAGATTCAGAAAATTTTAAGAAATAATAATTAAAAAATAAATGTATATATACCTCCTTTGCCATAATTATAACACAATCCAAGATTACATGCAGAATCATGACAACCATTTTCAGCAGATATTTTATACCATTTAGCTGCTTCTATATAATTTTTAAGAGTATTATCATAATATAATGCAACATTTCCCTGTGCATCAATATGACCATTTTCAGCAGCTTTTAAAAACCAATTGAATGCCTCTTTCTTATCCAAAGAAGTTCCAGTACCGTACTCATAACATATTCCAACATTATATTGTGCTTGAGGGTATCCTCCTTTAGCTGATTTCAAGTACCAATTAAAAGCTTCTCTTCTATTAAATCCAATTCCTATGCCATTAAAGTAATGATATCCAAGTTGATTCTCAGCTTCAGAATTCCCATTTTTAGCGGCCTTAAGATACCATTCAATTGCTTTTTGGTTATCTTTGATCGTTCCTGTAAATAAAAGATCGGTAATAATGAATAGTAAATTATTTAGATTTGTAATTACTCAGATTTTATTATGTATAAATTTTATCCAAACCTATTCCATATCTATAACAATCTGCTAAACTACATTGTCCTTTAGAATATCCACCTTCAGCAGATTTTAAATACTGTGAAAATGATTTTGAACAATCCAACTTTCCGACCATGTATTGTCCAATAGGATTTCCACTTTCAGCAGATTTATTATACCATTCTAACGCTTTATTTTCACATTGATCGACTGAATACCCATTTTCATAACATCTACCAACAAAATATTGACCTAATCCTGATTTTTGTTTAGTAGATTCTAAAAATAAATTTAAAGCCATAGTTTCATTCTTTTCAACACCTTTTCCATTTAGGTAAAAATTTGCTAATGAAATTTTACCCAGTAAACAATTATTTAATCTATATTTATCAACCAAAGTCAAATTATCTAAATTATCCAAATTAATATAATCAATATTTTCTCGAGAAGACATACTATACATGTCAAATGCGATGTTATAATCAATAGGTACTCCAATTCCATATTCATAAAAAAATCCAACCATGCAGTTGAAGTAATAGTCTTCTTGATAATAAATCAATTGATTAATAATTTCTGTTTGGTCTTTATTATTTTTGTCAATGAAATTATTTAAAAGGTTAACTATATGAACTGAATCATCAGTAGTGTTGGATTTGTCTATAAATAATTGCAATAAATCGTGGAGAAATACTGAATTTTTATTGATATTATTGAGTGTAGGATGAATGACTTCTTGAAATTTTTTTTTTGATTTCTCAATAATAACTATTTTGGCCAATTCTCTAGCAACATGTTGAATGGTCGGGCGTTCTTCAATATCATGCTTCCAGCATTCTATTAATATTATTATGAAATTAAACCATCAAGAAAATTCATAATTTTTAGAATTTAGAAAAAAAATAAAACCTTTATAAATCTCTACGTATTTTTGAGGCGTTCCTTTAACAGTAGTTTCTCGCTTTCCATAAATGATTGCATTTAATAAATTAAAACCTATTGGTATCTCAGATTCATATGGAATGGTACCACTTGAAATCTCCCATAAAAGTACACCAACGCTATAAATATCAGACCTTTTGTTCAAGACATAAGTTTTGAGGTCACATAAATAAATAGGATCAAAATATTGAATATAACCAAGCAATTTAGAAAGTGGGTTGGTTTCAAATGTAACTTTTGATGATATGAAATCGCCTATCTTGATCATGCCTTCGTGAACTAAAATATTTTCGGAATGCTTTGTGTAAAAATATCAAAGATCCCAATATTTAGATTTTGAAAATAAGCATGTAGTTCAGAAAAATCCAGACGAATTACGAATGTATTGTTCATATATAATTACAATTATTATTAATAAAATTTTGAATTATTAGTCTTAACAATCTTTTAGGTTTAATTAACTCGAACAAGACCTAAGGAACCTACAAAGCCAATAACTCAAGGATTTCTATTAATCTTTGATGAGGAATTATTTTTATTTATAAATGATAATCATTTGTTTAAAGCAATCATTTTTCTTTTGAAATTTGTCCGGATTTTGCCATCAACTATAAGCAAGCAGAAATGATAAATATTTGTTACCAAACATCCGTGAACAATATCATTCTCATGCAAGTGCATTACTGCACTAACAAGCTGTTTGGCCAACCGTAGTTTGGCATTCCAATTCAATATCCTAAAGGTTCGTTCCAAGAAGTGACGAAAAGTTCCGCTATCTGCGTACTCATAGACTAGCACATATGTATTCAGATCTTGGAAAAAAAGGAAAAAGATAAAGATATAACAGTAAATATAAAAAGTGATATTATTCATGTATTTTTTTTCCTTCTTATAAATACCTGATTTAGTAAGACCAAAAAATTGTAAAATATTTTCGTTTGAATCCAATGATTGGCGTTTTATGATCTTTAACAAAATATTGTTAGAATATTCATTTAATACATAATTTTATGTGGAAAAATTTTTACTTCTTTTGGTATAAATTCTTGAGATAAAATGAGTGTTTTTAGGACTAATGGCTTATTGTATTCTTTAAGTGAAGCTTTAAAAATTCGATTAGGTTTTAAAGTTTCTAAATTTTCAAATAGGTCATAGTCAAATGTTATATCATTGAAATTCATATCCTCTGAAAGTGAAAAATCTGGCATAGGATAATTTTTTTGAAGCATCGTGAAATGTTAGTTAATGACTAAGCTTAAATAAATGAATGGGTTAATTTCAAGACTAATATAATCAAAGGTACGTATTGTAAAAATTTTATAAAACTAAAGTTATTTATAATGCACATTACTTGCATTTAGTATACGTATTCATAAACACAAACCAGAATCGTAATGTCGTGTTACTTACTATATTTATGTGATATTCGGTAGTTTTCTTTATCGAATCATGGCTGCACAAAAAGTCATCATTATAAATGTTGAGTACATTTTACATTCCTGGAGGAATTTATTTTCCTTTAGTGTTACATGTGCAGTGTACATGAACATGACAAGGCTGAAACATAAATGACACAATAATAACATTGATTTGTCGAATTAAGATCTCACCTGGTAAAAATCAGCACTGGTTTTTTTCGATTTTTAACAGCTGCCCTACCGTGATTAGTGCGTCGGGGGTACGTCAAGTGTAACCCGGA